GCCAAATTTTAGTCATGACCCTTCTCTCACATCCCTATAGAACCGAGAAAGTCGCATTAGAGATTAACCTTCGCGTCTTTAAGCCATGAAATTTGCCTGTATTCACATACTACCTCGCTTGTTCTGACCCGTACTTGGAGCTCACTGTACACCAGTTCAACGGATTTCTTTCGGCAATCGACCCGAGGTCACGCCGGAAGTCTTCGTATCGTAAATGCGGATTCGATTTGGATATAGTCTTTCTTCGAAATTATAAGTTAAATACTTTTGTATCTAAGGCTGTTAAAAAACGGCCTAAGATACAAAAGTATTTAACTTATAATTTCGAAAATTACGGTGAGTGTATTTTTCAACGGCCTAAGATACAAAAGTATTTAGCTTATAATTTCGAAAATTATGGTGAGTGTATTTTTTAACGGCCTAAGATACAAAAGTATTTAACTCATAATTTCGAAAATTATGGTGAGTGTATTTATACATTTCCTTATAACAGGACACCACAGAAACCAAGCTTGGGCTACCTGTGTCATTACCATAGCACGCTACATTACAGAGTTATGGCCAAGGGGCCACCAGATGCGTGTGGGGCCAGGAGATGCGGGCCACCAGATGTAGGTGGCACGTGCTAACCTTACTTGCATAATTTGTATGGGCTCACATGAGGGGACGTGAGCTTGAAATCGTAGCTGACCAAATGTTAACAGATTTTTTCTGATGACAGGGAACCTGGCTATAGTTGATTGCTATTTTTAGAAAAGTAACTTTGCTCTTTATGGGTATCCTGTGGTTTGTGATTGCTTCTCTGTGATTGCCTGATCGGTTTACATTACTTTAGCTGTAATCAGATATCGCGCTGCAAATTAATAAGCGATTAATTTCAAACCAATAATCGTTGGTGTATTGCTCCTTATAGGTCTGTGGTGTGTAACGCACTTTCTAGTAAGTAATCAAAAGTCATCCTTTGGCTGTTTTTAGAGAGGGTGTTAAGGAGAGGTCAAAAATTAGAAGGGAGGGAGGGCTGGTGGAAATGGAAGGGGGGGGGGGGGTCATGATTTTTCATGCAGGCTAAAAGGGAGGACCAGAAAGAATTGTGCAAGTCTTAAGGGGAGGGTCAAACTTTTTTGTGCATAAAAATTAGGTCAGTAGAAATGTAAAAAATGAATTATGCTGTCACTGGATCAAGCTGATAGGTGCGTTAGGAGCTATCTAGAACACTTAAAATTGCTTGAACTGAAGAAAGAAAAAAGAAAGGAAGACAAAGCTGAAAAGAAATTCTGTAGAGGCAAGAAAAAAATACGAAGACTACAACTGGAATGCTATGCTTGACGATGGCTCTTTAAGAAAACAAAATGTAGCTGTCCTAAGTGATGAGTATTCAAAGTTTCATCAATTGCAGTGCCCTGGTAAAAGGAAGGTTAAACTATATACAGTTCAGAGGCATATAACACACAATCTGCATACAGTGGAACAAAATAGACGGGACAACTACAGAGAGCCTGGCAGTGACACTGACACTGATGGGAGTGCAGAATCTGGATTATCTTCTAATGAGGATTGTGAGGAAGAACAAATATTGGCTGAACTTTGCTCAGATACTGATGAAGAAGAAAAAAGTGGTGACGATAGAGATGACACAGAAGAGTTTTATAGTAGAATGACAACTACTGTGACAACAAGATCGGGAAGACGTGCAACTCGTTTACTGCTAAGTCAGCCTAAATTATAAGTTATGGGGGAGGGAAGGGCCAGAAAAAATTGTGCAAGTATTTAGGGGAGGGCCAAATTTTTTCCTATATAAGGAAAGGGAGGGCCACTAAAAAATATACAGGCCAAAAATAAAATGCACCAGCCCCCCCCCCCCCCCCCCCCCCCCCCCTTTTTCCTCTCCCCCCCCCCCCCCCCCCCCCCCCTCCTCTATTTTTTGACCTGTCCCTTACCAACCGCTATTGATTTGGATTCAAACAATAGTATTTACAGCGCGGATCTGATAACAACTACAAACCACAGGAAACCCATAAAGGAAAAGTTGCTTTTCTAAAAGAAGCGAAAAGAAGCAATGAAAATATTGTCGGGTTCCCTGTGGTCCAAGTTGTGGGTTCGGGTTTCCTGTGGTAGCAAAGAATCCAAGATGGCGGAGTCCACGGTGAAATCTCCCTCCATCGTTACATCTGCTATTCGTCTACTTACAAGCACCTCTACTAAAACAACTGAGGATAAACCTATAAAATACTTCGAGGAAATGTTGCTGAGTAGAATGAAACAATTGAAAACTGCTCTGTTAAGCGACATAAACTTTGACACTCTGCGACAACGTTTACAAAATGAAAACTGTGAATTTTGGAAACGTTTTCTTGAAGACGAACTAGAACCTGAAGGAATGGCTGAAGATACATCTAAAGGAGCAGAAAGGACTGAATTAGAAGCCTGGAAATTTGTTGCGAGGTGGAAATTTGTAAAAATATGTTTGAATTTAATGTTGGAGCTGAAAAGTCTTCTTCAGGAACTTGTGTCTGGAGTGTCTATGGAAAAAACCAACACCAAAGGCATACAAAACCCAAAACTAAACGTGGATGCTCTGAGTGTCAGCGACCAGAAAGTTGTACTCACTTGTATTCAGTTTATCATTTGTTTAGGTGTCTATCCAAATCTTCATCCAGGTGTAGGGATTCCTGTTGAAAGAAGATCTGGGTATAGCAGCTTGATCAAGGGGCCTGAAAATGAATTTCAAAATGATAAACAATTATATGAATGTATAAGGGTACTATTAGAGTGCATTAAGCATGCATCGCTGGGGTCTATTATACTGTCATGTCACCTTGGTGATGTACTGACTGGATTAATACAAATCTGCTATGCACCAGCATCAACATATAATGAGAGTAATGGTGCATCTAAACAGACATGTGCAAAAAACTCCTTGGACATGAATAAAACTACTAGAACAATTCATTCCCAAGATAGTGATGAGATCAAGCCAGTGTCTTCAGGTCAGAGTACTGATGAAGTAAATGCCAAGCCTGTTTCATGTGGAGAAAGTGAACTGAGAATAAATGTGGAAAGAGAGTCTATCACTAAATGTTGGTCATTGTCAGCTTCGGAAAGAAGTGTGGATCCTTGTAATCGTAAAAATGAGTGGAAAAAGAATGTAGCAATGAATGAAATCAAGGAAAAATTTATTTCTGCATCAGAGAGAGAAAAATGCTTACTAGAGTTAGAAAGACTAGTTGAACGGGTTTATCAACCGTTGATAGTAAGAGAGCTACTTATGATACAAGGTGGAACAAAACCTGAAAGACAACAGAAAACTACTGGTTCTACTAGAAATGGAGTAGGGAAAATATCTGTAAAGAGAGAGGATAAGAATGTTACTTGTGATGAGAGGCCCAAGTGGTTTACAAACATCTGTGGTCAGTTACTGTCAGCAAGACTGATGAAAGAAAATGGTGTACAGGCTGTGTTGAGAGGGATATTAGAAAACACTGCAGGTCAGTTATTATACTTGTATCCTCTCGTGTTGTCTCCTATCCTTTGTCTCCTCTTGTCTCACCTCCTCCATCCTCCTCTTCTTCTTTACTCCATTGCTTTCCTCTTGAATCTATTAATTACATCTCAATCTTGACTCCTTCTTGATGTACAACTGGTTTACTCCCCTCCTCTTTGTTCCCTACTTTTTCTCTCTTTTCTCCTCCATTCTACTAATCTCTTCTCTTCTCACTCCTAACTTCTCTGTTTTTCTTTCCTTACCCTCTTATCATCTGTAAATAGTCTTGGGACAAGACTAGTTGTCACCTTGACAGATTAAGTTAAGTATATTTAGCATCATAAAAAAATAGGAATTAAAAATATCATAAACACGCGCATAACAGGACGTAATGGCAACTACTTTTTTTTAAATTGCAAGAAAAGAAAAATATATTATTATAGAAGAAATATATGTTATTGTATAGATAATAAATATTTTTTATAATTCTTTTTAAATGACTTAAATGATTGGGACTTAAGACTATCAGGAATTTGTTCCCATATTTTGATTGCTGAATATTTAAATGATCTCATCTGTAAATAATTTTGGGACGAGTTGTCACCTTGACTGATCAGATATCGTTTCGATATATCACATAGATGGATGGCAGATTCACAAAGACACATACAGTAAATTAGAAGCCATTGTTAGCATGATTATTCACTTTCTTATTCCTAACCCTCCCCACCCTTGCTCTGTGATAATATGTTTTTTTGAGAGCTCATATAATGTACAGAAAAACTATGAGATAGAATATAGTATTTTCTGTTTAACTTATAGATCCTCACAGTACACAAAACTGGCGTAAATGCGACATGGTAGCAAGACTCATTGCTAACTGTCCAAGTCAAGCTACTTCTGTAGAGGAATATTATTCACATATAGCACCTCAGGTGAGTACAATGCAGCCAGGTTATGTGGTTATACTCTAGCTTTAAATTTAGGATTACAATGTAGCTGTGATAATACCTTTCAGCATGGGTAATGTTTTCCCATTTCAGACAATGTGTTATTCTGAGGTTAATAAAATTGCAGAAGTCTTGAGAATTTATGATACCATGCGAAAACCAAATTCCATAATTGTTTTATTTATACATTTTGTAAACTAAGAATAAAGATTTAATTCTGCTAACAAAAAAACGGCAAACATATTTGAATTGCCATTGTGACCTTGAGTTACCTTGACATGATAAATGTATTATTGACAGAAAAACCTACAGATACAGTACATGTAGTAAGCAATTATTGGATGAGGTTGAGCATGATATCGTAAATTATCATGACTTTGGCTGTGTTATCTGCTGTTTGGCTTTGGCAAACCGAATTCAATAATTGCTTTATTATACATTTTGTATACTGGAAAAACATTAACATGAACATTAAATTATAGAGACATCTTGATGGATCTCAATGCCCTTGGCAAAGCTACCACAGCGTGACCTTGAATGAACTTGACATGATAAATGTATTATCTGTAGGTTTTCCTACAGATAATACATTTATCATGTTGAGTTCACATGATATCAGGGATTAGCTGAGGGCTCTCGACCAATCAGAGTTGAGATACTTAATAGTAAAATGTATAATAATACATTGATCATGTCAAGTTCACATGATATCAGCAGCTGAAGGCTCTTGGCCTATCAGAAACAAGATAGAGTAAAATGTATGATATACAGTCAATGTCATTAAC